CAGCAGGAGTAGGGAAGTGATCGTGCCCCTGTACTCGGTGCTGGTGAGGCCACACTTCGAATTCTGTGTTCAGTTTTGGGCCCCTCACTACAAGAAAGATGTTGCATAGCTGGAACATGTCCAGAGGAGAGCAACCAAGCTGGTGAGGGGTCTGGAACACAAGTCATGCGAGGAGCGGCTGAGGGAACTGGGGTTGTTCAGCCTGGAGAAGAGGAGGCTGAGGGGAGACCTGATCGCCCTCTACAACTGCCTGACAGGAGGCTGTAGGGAGGTGGGGGTCAGCCTCTTCTCCCTGGTAACAGATGATAGGACGAGGGGGAATGGTTTGAAGCTGTGCCAGGGCAGGTTTAGGCTAGACATTAGGAAAAACTTCTTCACCGAAAGGGTTGTCACGCTCTGGAATGGGCTGCCCAGGGAGGTGGTAGAGTCCTCCTCCCTGGAGGTATTTAAAAGAAGGATAGATGAGGTGCTTAGGAACATGGTGTAGAGGTGGGATGGCAGGGTTAGGTTAAAGGTTGGACTCGATGATCTTAAAGGTCTTTTCCAACCAAAGTGATTCTATGATTTAGATTAGAAACTTTCACATCAGAAGTTTTTTAAGTGCAAAGTAATCTATCACCAATACCTTGCCAGAAATCTTTACTAATAAAGTGCTAATACAACCCATACTATGTCAAAAATACGATGAAAATATGAAAAAAGATGTAGTTTTTCATTTCCGGAGTAATCACATTGATCAGCTGTATAAGCTATAACCACCCATTCAATCAACTGGAAAATGATTTGTCCAAACTTCACTCTCATACACATTACCACATTAGAAGAGGCTCATTTGATGAAAACATTTTTGAGTAGATAACAAAGCAGCTACACTAAGAAGGACTTAAACTGAGCATGTATTTTTTATATGACCATATAATTAATCCACGCAAGTTTCACACCCCCTTTAAGTTTTCTACCACTTCTTAATCTTGTGTTCTTTTAAAGCTGTATTTTCAACTACAGCTAAAGTGCAAAAGGAATTTTAACATTTTCATTGATGCAGCCTTTCACCGCTGGCAGATCAGTTCTAAAAACACTGTATGTCTAAACAAAATGTCATGGAACGGACATGGGACTTTGTGCTTTTTTTTTTTTTTTTTTGTTGGGAAGATGACAGAACAAGCTCATCTAAAGAAGTTTTTGCCAACAGTTCTCCACTTGCATAAACACTGAATTAACAATTCCATACACCAATAGATCAATTATGAACAATTAAGAGCCAGGAGAAAAACTAACCAGGACACTTACACGCTACCTGAAGAACAACTGCAACCTGTTCTTTTTAAAGTAGACCGAATTGATGAATAGTTAATGTATCCTTCGAAATTTCAAATTAGTAAATTATTTTCCACTAGTCTGTAAACAGTGTTGTTCCCATCACCTCACGGGTGGCTGAATTTAGTAGGAAGAAAGCAAAAATATTTACCATCTCCAGAAACACAGCCAAATTGCATCCTACTTTTGAAAAATATTAACAAAATATCACACAAGAAAACTCTTCCTTTAGGCTATTTTCATAGACTCACAGAACAGTTTGGGTTGGAAAGGACCTTTAAAGGCCATCTAGTCCAACGCCCCTGCAACAAGCAAGGACATGTTCAACTCGATCAGGTTGCTCAGAGCCCCGTCCAACCTCACCTTGAATGTTTCCAGGGATGGAGCATCTACCATCTCTCTGGGCAACCTGATCCAGTGTTTCATCAATCCCACTGTAAAAAATTCCTTCCTTCTATCTAGCCTAAGTCTGCTCCCCTTTAATTGAAAACCATTACCTCTTGTCCAAGCACTACAGGCCCTGCTAAAAAGTTTGCCCCCATCTTTCTGAGAAGCCCCCTTTAAGTACTGCCATAAGGTCTCCTTGGAGCCTTCTCTTCTCCAGGCTGAACAACCCCAATTCTCTCAGCCTGTCCTCGTAGGAGAAGTGCTCCAGCCTTTGGATCATTTTCATGGGCCTCCTCTGGACCCACTCCAACAGGTCCATGTCTTTTCCCATGCTGAGGGCTCCTGAGCTCGACACAGCACTGCAGGTGGGGTCTCACCAGAGCGGAGGAAAAGAGCAGAACCCCCTCCCTCACCATGCTGGCCACGCTGCTTTTGATGCAGCCAGGATACGCTTCGCTTTCCAGGTTGTAAGCACACATTGCTGGCTCACGTCCAGCTTTTTGTCCACCAGTATCCCCAAGACTTTTGCTGCAGGGCTGCTCTCAATCCTTTTATCCCCCAGCCTGTGTTGATACTGGGGGTTGCCCTGATCCAGGTGCAGGACCCTGCACTTGGCCTTGTTGAACCTCATGAGGGTTGCATAGGCCCTCTCCTCAAGCTTGTCCAGGTCCCTCAGAAGCATCAACAGTTTTCATGCTATAATATCAAATTATTCTTTTACAAAGTATGTAAGTATGTTTTCCTCAAGAAATATACAAAAATAAGGCCACTATATTCTATTACATTATGATATATGCAATTTGTTACATACAACACATATATTGCACCTCTTCAGATAAAACTAAGTTGTCAGAGAAAATCCATTTTATAGCTCTGTACATTTATAACTTCAGTAGTTCCTATCATACAGTAAAAACACGTGCTTCAGGTACATGTATTTTTCCTTCTACATTTTAATTAAGGACTAAATAGTAATTAACAGTACATATTGTCAACTGTTAGCACACAAGACTGACAAACTACTTGCCAAATCTTTCCTTAGAAGATATATCTAGTTTGTGGGGATGCTTCCATCCAGCCTAGTCCTCTCCTTTGAGGATGCTGAGGACAGGAGCAAATCCTACCCAAGCAACAGAAGCGGCTCACCTACACCTGCTCACAATCCAACCTAACAAACCAGATCACCTGATTTTTTTAAAAGGTGGCCCACTATTTTTTGATTCTGTATTGTGAAGCTGCTCACAAAGACAGGATGCAAGGGGATGAGGGTAAAGAGAAGGGGAGGTGTGGAAGAGGCCTAAAAATCCTGATTCAAACCTCCTGAACAAGGTTGTATCCCCTTATTTAAGGCATATGATCTGACAACATCTAAAAATATGAGACTGGAGAATAATGGAAGATTATCCCTGAAACAGAAAATAAATATACATGAAATCAGATTTCTTTCCTTCCCTAACCACAGCTTAATTTCAGCTCCAGATGCTTTTCAATATAATGAATAAATAATGATTTTATGGAAGGGTAGCTGGATACCAAATTAAAAACAAAATATAACAAAAAATCCCCGTGATGTTATTCTGTCTAAGGAACTGTTCTCTCAAAGACACTAAGATATTTCTTGAAGTTCAGGAAAAAAAAAAAACCAAGAAAAACCCAAGTGTTAAGTACACCAATCACAAATTCATGCACATACTTTGCTCTCTTAGAGACTATCAAATGTCTCTCAGTAGTAGTAAGCTATCAATGTCAATCTCAGGTGTAATGCATTTGGCACTGATTTACAGAATACTTTAGACCAAATAAAGTTATCCTTGAAATGACTTTCCAGGATTTTATGACTTCATGGACATAAAAGTGTCAAAGATCTTTCCCACAGGACAACCAAAAACATTTCCTCTCAGTGTCTGCTTTATTTTTCAGACAGCCTTAGCCTCCAGTGACATCTTGTGGATAAGGCATAATTTGCAACAGCAGAACTCTAGTACTTGAAACATCTTTAGAACAGTACAAATATCACCTTTATTATGAAGAACAGATCAAGTATAATTTTAGTAGGTACATTCCACATGTATGAGCAAAGTTTAATGCTTCCTTTATGATTCCGTAATGTCTCTTGAAAAATTTGCGTATTACAGGAAACACTGTACCATCATGATGAGGGATCACCTTTTTATCTTCTATAAAATGCTTATCACCATGAGACAGGCACTACAGTATTACAAGTAATGAACAAGATCACAGACACATCTTTACTGCTGAATCTTCTCATCTACAGAAAAGCAAAATGACTTTTTCATTTAAACAAGAAGATATCTTTCGACAATGACTGTGTCTCCCATTTAAGAATCAGACTGGTTCCAGCCTCACCATCACAGAACGTCTGAGGTTGGAAGGGACCTCTGGAGGTCATGCTGTCCTAACCCCCTGCTCAAGCAGGACCAGCTTTTGAGTATCTCCAGGGATGGAGACTCCACAACCTTTTGGGCAACCACTCCTAGTCATCCTCACAGTAAAAGTAGTTTCCTGATGTTCAGAAGGAACCTCCTGTGTTTCAGTTTGTGCCTGTTGCCTCATGAAGACAGGACTTCTCTGTGCGTTACTCAGAATGAAGTACCACTCCAAGACTCTGTGGTGTTGTGCAGCTACTGAAAGGTAGCATTCAGAAAATCTAATCAAGAATCACACCAGTATTTCATTACATGCACTGTGAATTAAATCTTTACATCTAAAATCAATGCAATGAAACACACTTCAAGGTTTTAAAACACCTGAAAGCACAACCCACTGTAATTCAGCCCCTAGAAATAAATTATGAATTCATAACAAGCTTTATATGGATTGGTAAAGACAATGACATAAGGTTGTAGAGGGGCACGAAGGAAAAAGGTAAGAAGGAAAATGAAGACATATTTTACAAACAATTGGAAAATGTAACCTTATGTATCAGTCTTGATTTTAAACTGAAATCAAAAATACAAGTGAAGGAAAGCAACTTTGCTTTTATCTACCGCCATACTCACTTAGTGCATGATAAATAGGTTTATGCCTGCCTTCCAGTCTGATTACAGTCGCAGCTGCTATTTTTCCCGGTGGCTGCATCTTCGCATCGAGGAGGTACCAGGCTCTGGCAAAAGTAGCCCATTGCTAAAGAGAAAGAGAGGTAGTACTTAACACAGTAAAAGAACATACTACCATACATGAATCTACCTTCTCTAATTAGATCAACACTTTATTTATACTCGAAAATACTAGAGTAGATATTAATATTCAACAACACCCCCTCCAAATAGCCTTTAAATGGATGGAGAACGCCGCTACACGCTGCAATACACCCATTGCCGCACGTGCTCCCAGCGCTCGTGGCAGTAACAACACTGACAGGTTACCAGCTCTGATGGTTTTGTTTCAAAAATAGCTCCGAGGGTTTTGTTTCAAAAATGACGACCTCTCGCTGCCAGCTTCCATGATCGCCAACTGAACGGCAAGATCGCTGCAGCCTACTTAACGCCCACCATCTCCCCTCCCTCTCGGTGAAGGGCACGGCTCTCCCAAACGATGCTTTAGAATCATAGAATCATAGAATGTTTAGGGTTGGAAGGGACCACTAGTGGTCATCTAGTCCAACCCCCCTGCAGTGAGCAGGGACACTGCTAACTAGATCAGGTTGCTCAGAGCCCCATCCAACCTGGCCTTGAATGTTCCCAGGGATGGGGCCTCCACTACCTCTCTGGGCAACCTGTTCCAGTGTTTTACCACCCTCATTGTAAAAAATTTCTTCCTTACCTCTAGCCTGAACCTACCCTGTTCTAGTTTAAAACCATTTCCCCTTGTCCTAACACAGCTGGCCCTACTAAAAAGACGTTCCCCATCTTTCCTATAGGCCCCCTTTAGGTACTGGAAGGCCGCAATCAGGTCTCCCCGTAGCCTCCTTTTCTCCAGACTGAACAAGCCCAACTCTCTCAGCCTGTCCTCATAGGAGAGGTGCTCCAGCCCTCGGATCATTTTTGTAGCCCTCCTCTGGACCCGTTCCAACAGTTCCATGTCCTTCTTGTGCTGAGGGCTCCAGAGCTGGACGCAGTACTCCAGGTGAGGTCTCACCAGAGCTGAGTAGAGGGGCAGAATCACCTCCCTCGACCTGCTGGCCA